CAGATGAGATAACATTAATAATGTCAGCTTCAGAGAGCAAATTAAGTTTGTGACTGAAGGTATTTAATATTTCTTGTTGTAAATTTCCAATCTCTTTAGTCAGATTTCCTTGATTAAGTAGATGTTTTTTAATGTTTTCTCAAGGAAATCAAGTTTGATTATATGTACGAGGAGCTGGAGTGCTTATACCATAATTGAGCCACGTAATATGACTTTTAAAGTCAGAATCTTTTACAGACATAGAGGTGGTAGTTTTATTCCAATGAAGTTTTTTAAGATTGTAAGATGAGGCAGGATGCCTGTGGGGACTCCAGTCTAACATATAACCATAAGAAGGTAAGAATGCGTCCCATGTGACTTTTACAATTTTTCCATTGTACCTAGGTTTTAGGGTCAGAAATTACTACCTCTTTAAAGATGGGTACATCTGTAGGTGCAAATTTAGTATATTCAGAAGAAGAAAAAGAAGAGACGATTAAAAGAAACAACCAGGCTTCTTTCTTGCCATGATCTGCATAGTGGGCATGGCGGTAAGAGTGTCTGGTAACCAGACTTACCATTACTAGGCCTATATTCCCAATTCACTTTTAAACAAGATTGTCGATTTGGCTGACATGCCTTTTTTAGTCTTTATTAATGATTCTAATTGACTACCAGGACCTTATGATTATCGTGGTCCAGTGAAACCCAGCGAGGAGGGCACTGTAATTAATACGTATGAAGTTGGGACAGAAGGCCCTCCCATATGTATTGGTAAAGGTATTCATTGTTTAAAACCTGCTACTCAAAGCTAGCTAGTTACCAGCAATTCCACTGGTGATAAAATAAAACTAAAAAAAAAACCTTTTTATTGGGTGGTGGGCAGGCAGGAGGGGGGAGGAGGGGAAGGGTGTGTACTTATAAAATGTGTGTGGTGCGCACCACAGGTGGATTGGACACGCCTGAATCTATGGCACATCGGGGGGAGGGAAGGGGGGCAGGGGCAATATTTGTAACCCTAACAATATTTGTACTCCCATAATATGATGAAATAAAAGGAAGAAAAAAAGTACAAAGGTGCAGTGATCTATGATCATGCCACTGCCCTCTAGTGTGGGTGACCCCAGTGTGCCAGTGTGGGTGACAGAATGACACCCTATCTGAAAAATAAAATAAAATAAAACAGCGAGAGGGGAGAGAGAGGGCAGTGGAAATGAAAACAGTGAAATAGCATCAGATGTGTGAATAATTAACAAGTGTTAATAAAGTTGTAGGAGCATAAACAAAGATTTTTTTTAAAAAACTTGGACATTATATCATAAAATATAAGAAAGAATATAACTGTGGTACCAGGTCAAACCAATTAACCATTGCTTAAGTTGTTACAGATGGCCAAGAACCAAAATTGCTAGTCATGTAGCTTGAGCATGTGCAGTGGGAAAAAGCTTCAACCTGCAAATTGTTAACACCAGCAGCCTGGCAGATTGGCTGCATGGGCATCACCTGGAACTAGTTAGCAATGACATGAAAGCTTGACCCACCACCAAATCTGAGAGACAGAGAGGGAGAAAGAGTGAGTTAGTTCAGCGTTGCTCTTGTCTCCTAGCTAGCTGACTTGCAGCAAAGATTTCACTTTTCTCAAAAGCTAGTGCCATTGTATTGGCTCGCATGGGCATCTGGCAATGAGCCCACTGCTCAATAACAAGAAGAATTAAATTCATTTAAAATATATATACTTTTTAAAGCAACTATTAAGTTTTTCTGGATGCATATATGTTTATTAGACATATTATGAATTTGAAATAAGTTACTTAGAGACCAACATTGAAAGAATACTTCACCAATAAAGCAACAGAGAAGTTATTTGTGAATGGTGTCAGACTCCCTTCCCCCAAAATAGACAATCAGATTTTTTTAAAGTTTTTTTGTGTGATTATGATACAATATGTACTTTTAAAACTGAAATAAATCATGACTATGAAGGTGTGAGAACACAAAGACAACAGAAACTGGACTAGTAGGAGGGAACAAGACAGACAAAAGGAAACTCATTATTTATTTGTTAGCCAATAAAAATTTCTGACCTGTACATCCTTTAAAGATCCACCTTTAGGAAAGAATGGTTTTAAATGGATGTTGATTTTCTTTCTGAGAAACAAACCATCCAAACAAGCAAATGTGGAGCCAAAAAAGTCTTTAGTCATCAATATGTGTTCTTTTGCCAGATTTTTGTGTAAAAGTATTTTGGGATTTTGAAAAGTAAATATATGAAAAGGTTACAAAATTAATTTACACTTTGCCTTAATGGGAAATAAGGACTTGAATGTTCCAAAGTCAGAAATTATTGCACTTTAATACAAGCTAACATTTATTAAGGGATTTGTGTCAGGTACTTTGATAAGAAATTTGCATGCTTTGGCAGGCACTGTAATTAACCTGATTTTTACAGGTGAAGAATCTGCACATAGACATTATAACTAATAACTCACAGTGGCTCAGTGATGGAGCTGCTGTCCAACCGAGAAGCTCAACGCCGCAGGCAGGGTGCCTCCCGCCGTGCTCAGTGCTCTGCCGCTGCCGGGGGAGGCAGAGGTTCCAGTCGGGCATGCAGCACTAAAGCGCCTGAGCCTTGGAAAGAAAGTCTGCGGTGCCACTTTTAGATTATTTTATTTTTCTGGTTTTGAAATTAATGTAGCAGGAAATTCAGAAGTACTAACTGTAATGCTATTACAGTAATGTTCATATGCCGGATGGGCTTTACCAAAATGTAAGTTAGCTGTGATTTGTCTCCAAAGAATGCAGAACCGCCATAAAAATAAAAGAGAAAAGCTAGTACCTGAGCCTCCGTCTGAGAGGCCTGCTTTCTCGTGGCACCAGCTGGAATCCAGCCTCACATATCATCATACCTATTAATAATAGTCACAGCAAAAATGACAAAATGACAGATCAAAGGTAGGATTTTATTGGAATTTGTTTAGTGACAAAAGAGGGAAGTAGCCTCTCATACCTCAGAAGTTCTCAATAGCACCTTAACCATTTTGACTATTTTATGAATTTTCTCTCAAAGAGAACTGCCAACATGTTCACTGGATTCGTCTCAACGTCTCTCTTCTTTGTCTTCTGTTTTCAGCTCTTTTCCAGCCCCTGTCACCTATATTTTCCACTTCTCTGAACTCTGCATCTTCCCTTCAGTATTTCTCTTTCACTTTCGTATGTAGCAGTGTTAGGGATCGACCTTCCACAGCCCCACCGGACAGAAAAGCAGAGACATCGAGGATGCAATCACACAAGAGGTGGTTTATTTTCTGGCTAGCCAGGGTCCAAGCCCCAGAGCACCAACGCAGTGGCCACTCTCGCAGGCAAGGACCCCGACCTGAATTGCGGGGTGCCTTTTATCCCCCCCCCCAAAGGGCCCTAGCAAGGCACAAACTAATTATGCGCTGGCCATGAGCTGACCTTTGAAGTGATTAATTTTCTTTGAATTCTGCGCGATCCCTGTGCATCCCACCTCCCTTTTGCCTTTCTTCACAACCCAAGAGATAACCGGAGGTATGAGTATAAACAGATGTGTGCTGTTCGCTAATTGCCTCACCCTGCTTCACACGAAGGGGGGCGGAAAACTCTTTTCTTGTTGTGCCACTGAGACGCTGCCGACAGGCCATGGGGCGCCCCCACATTCCCCCTTTCCTTTACATCGCCGACGAGCACCTGCTCTCGTCTGGGTATTTACAAGTCGGTCTGCATTATTTGTCCGATTCTTTGATATTGCTGTGCAGCACCAGAAGCTGAACAGCACTGACCCTGTCTCTTATAAATCTTATGAGTTGTTACTATGCAGGGCCAAATGTCAGGGCTAAGAGTAAGATCACCAGTGTCCTACAAGCGCGGAAATCAGGGTAGTCAGCCAGGGGAACTATTGAACCAGACTCAAACAACCTGTTGTTTTCGTACTCTCGTTTGCGCCGGCAAGCCCTCTCTTACTTTGCCATGGACCTCTTACCACTCCTGTGTGGTCGGCATAGAAACAGCATTCCTCCCGGAGGCCCCACATAGCCCTCCCTGTTGCAGAGACACCAAGTCTAACCCTCTCCGTTTGCAAAACTACTCCGAGAGATAGTTAAAAGACTTTCTAAGTGGAGATGGGACTCTTCAATCCTGGCGATATCCTCATCGATAGCCGCCCTGAGGGAGTTAAGTCCCCTATGCTGCATGGCTAGGGAGGAGATGCCAGTTCCCGCCCCTATTGCCCCTAGACCAAATAGGGTAGCCAGAGTGATGGCAGTAATGGGCTCTCTTTTTCTACGGAAAATTAGGTTAGCAGCTCTTTGCCCTGTCATACCCTCATACATTGTCTCTTTAGTGTGGTATATTATTTTTGGAACACTAATACATTATACAGTAATTTTAGACTCATTGAAAATAAAATACTAAGGCAAGGATCAGACGGTCGTTGAGCAAACCCACCACCCACCTGGCCCGGGGATAACCCACTTTGTTTTTTAGATAGGTTAGCGTCGCTGTTACCCTTGGCACAGAGTGTGCATGGCTGGGAGGCGACTGTCCTAAACAGGTACCTGTTGCCAATAACTGACTGGAGGATGGTCCGGGCCTCACGAGTCCCACTTGCACGTTTTAGGGAGTGCTTCTGGAGGACAGGTTAAATAAAGTGGCCAGCCCCACCGCCTCATAAAAAGGGGGCCTTATGTCATAGCACAACCAACGCCTGTGTGGCATTGGATTGTGCGTTCAGTGCATTATATGCTGCTGTCAGCATTTTCCATAAGGGATCTGTGAGCTCTCCATCGGGCGATGGCGCTCGGGACTACTTGTGCTAGCCATTAGTTTGTGAGAGTGCCTTTTGCTGGAGGTGGTCTGGGTGCTGCCGGGCTGGCCTGACAGTAGCTGGCCATGGATGTGTACCTGGTTGGTCTAACCGTTGTTGGGAGCGTAATTTTAGAGTTTGATATATATTAGTGAGCAGAAGCATGCGTTCTTTGGTAGGGCAAGTCCGCCCGATGAGAGTCCTGTTATCCACCGCCTATCTTTCTTTCCCTTTTCTGTAAATTTTACCCTTATTAGGTTGCAGTCTCTGGCATACCTGTTTTTAGTACAAGGTTGGACATAGGACATGCTAATGAGAAGAGGTTGTGCCTGCCATTTCCATTCCCCATCATTGGTGGTCACACACCACCATTTGGCACAATAATAACTTCCAATACCCCCACACTGACGGTTTTCCTGAGGGGGCCGGAATCCCGGACAGGCATAAAACCCATTCCGGCTCATGGAGGTTCGTTTTATGTCTTCTCTCCATGGTCCAGTTATCCACGAACTGGGGATTGGGGCAGCAGCAGGGCCTCTTGAGGATATCGCTATTGTCTGTGCTGGCTTTTCTAGGGGGTTGACTTTTTCTAAGTTAAAATATAAGTCCGGCCACCAACTGTTTAAGGGGGCCACCCCAGAGGTCACGTTCCAGACCTCGTGGGTTTCTTGATTGACAATTTCCCATGTCAGGTTATGGGGTTTGTGGGGATTGAAATTGTTCATCACACTTACAACACCCCCACCCATTAACAAAATGCTCTCAAGGAGATACAAAACAAACCCTGCATACATTTTTGTAGTGAGGTCCAATCTCCAGGTGCCACAGCCCCGAGTCTGAGTCTAGACAGTATAACTAGTAGTCCAAGAGGAATAGGACTCAGCTGGCTTCTCGTGGCGCTGCTGCTACTTGAGTCAGCCTGACTTTCAGTGGGTTCTCTGGGTCCACCGTCGCTCTCCACTGGCTCCGGCACCGTTCTAGGTCGTTCTCGTTGGCTGGCCTCACGTGGGAGTGGTGTATCCAAGTTGATATGCCGTCTACCTTGAGAGCAGTGGGGGTAATAAGAATAATTTGAAAGGGCCCCTTCCACCTAGGCTCTAGGGTTTTACTGTTATACCTTTTTACCCACACCCAGTCTCCTGGTTGGTGAGGATGACGTGAATGTCCGGCACTCTTCTCCTCGGGCTCTGCAGCGCGGTGTATGGCCTGAAGGGCAGGCCATACCTGGCTGTGAACGCGCTGCAGAGCTCGAACGGCTTGCAACACGTCTTTGGGGTGTCTTGGGAGGGCCTCAGGGCTCACCCTGGGGACTACGGGTGGAGGAGTGCCATACATGATTTCAAAGGGGGTTAAGCCTAAATGATAGGGGGTGTTCCGGGCTCGGAACAGGGCGAAGGGAAGGAGGGTCACCCAGTCCCCGCCAGTCTCCAGGGCCAATTTAGTCAGGGTCTCCTTTATTGTTCTGTTCATTCTCTCTACCTGCCCTGAACTCTGGGGGTTATAGGCACAATGTAGCTTCCAATTGGTCCCCAGAGCCTGGGCCAGTCCCTGACTGACTTGGCTGACAAAAGCAGGTCCATTGTCTGATCCTATTCCCTCTGGCAGTCCATATCTAGGGACTATTTCTTCCAATATTTTTTTTTGGCTACCGTCAGAGCAGTCTCTTTCTTAGTGGGGAAAGCCTCTACCCACCCGGCACCCGGAGAACGTATCCACCATAACTAGCAGATATTGGTACCCACACTTTCCAGGTTTGACTTTTGTAAAATCTATTTCCCAGAACAGTCCTGGCTGCCTCCCTCTTTCCCTCATACCTGCATGGGTCCCTTTGACCCTCCCTGGCTGCATGACTTGGCAGGCTCGGCAGTCCCGGACGATGTCGTCTGCCACTCGTCCCTGCGACATGAACCTGAGCTGGGCGGTGTTTAACAGTTGTAACATTTTTCTCTTTCCTAAATGTGTGGTCTGGTGTAGGTGCATCAACAGGTGACGTCCCAGAGTCTCTGGCACTATCAGGCAGCGTTCTTCGTCTCGCAGCCAGCCATCTTCACCTTTTTCCGCAGTTAGTCGTTTTGCAGCCCAGGCTTCGTCTGCACTGGAGTAGTCTGGCAGAGGAGGTATCTGTCCCATGCCTCGGGGCGGAAGGCGGTGACGAACCTGGCTTCCGCCTTCTTCCCAGCCTCTTGTACTGTGAGGATCTCTGTAATCGTCCCTTAAGGGGGGCACAAAGTCGCATCCAAGGCGGGGTTTCTGACCAGTCCTGCCAGACTGCGATATATGGGATCTGATCGGTGCCAGGATGCCACAAGATTTCCTTTTACTTCTCAACACGGTCCATGGTCAAAGGACCCTTCCTTGGCCACCCGACATTGAACATGGCATTTGCTTGCATAAGGTGACAATTTCCTTTCTAATCTCTAAGGACAGATTATGGGCCCTGTCCTAATCCTCTAAAGTGGCCCGAGTACAAGGGAAAGGGCGTTGTCAGGCTTGGTCCCATGGGGCTAAGACAAGACAACTATAAGAAGTACCGGCTCCGGTTTGATCTAGTCAATTCCAGTCCTCGGCACTCCGATGTCTCCTCACGGTCTTAGCGTGGGCCTGTGGAATCAACACCTCACTCACAAACCCATTATTCCGACAGAACACAAAGCCGGCGACAAACGAGAACACAGACTAACATACGAAAAAATTAACAATAAAACCTAACCTGGTCCGGACCTGCTCCCCGTATCCTCTGACGAGCCCTTGCTACAAGTCAGCTCCAGCCTCCTGACCGAGCCCTAGGCACAAGAGTCAGCTCCGAGTCCAACGGGCGAGGACGTCTCCTGGCTCCGACCGGCGACCCACCAGCGCGTCCGCCTACGGTCCTGTGCCGGCGTCCTGATCGGGTCCGCAAGGGATTCCGGTCCCTTGCCCAACACCACCCGGCTAGTCCGGGTGGATTTTCAACTCCTCCCTCAGCCCTGAGTTCTATCGGTAGTCTGTGGGAAGCAAATCCGACGACCCCCAAATGTAGGGATCGACCTTCACAGCCCCACCGGACAGAAAAGCAGAGACATCGAGGATGCAATCACACAAGAGGAGGTTTATTTTCTGGCTAGCCAGGGTCCAAGCC